GTTGTCCCTCAGGGCCCAAACTTGAAACCTGTGTCTATCATTTTAATGGGGGAAGCCCTTCAATAAGTTCAAGGTAGGTTTTTAGGTCAGCTTTTAGCAGAACATCAAACATAAAATGTGTTTTTTAAAAAAACTGGTAATAGGTGTAGAAAGTTTTAGAATGGTTCAGTGAACTCAAGCAATTTTATATAATTTGAATTATTTAGAAAATAATATTTTGACCTTTATGGTTGTGTGTGCAAGTGGCGATGACTTCACTGGTGATCAGAAGGCCATGTCACCCTCATTCCAATTATTCTGTTGCTTCCTGATCCTCCACTGAACAGTAGTCAGAGAAAAGAAAATGAAACAAGAAAATACACAAGCCATCCTGTTTTGTCCCTTAGGCATAGGTATGGCCAAATATTAGTTGGGTACAGAGAATTACACTAGTGCCAAAACAGAGTAAGGGGCTGAGGAGATAGCTCAGGAGAATAGGTGCCTGCCAAAACCCAGTAAGGTCACTGAGATGATCTCTGGCCTTATTGTGGAAATCAAATGTTACATCTGGCCTTAAAAACTAAGTTATTATAACTCATATAAGTAAGCTTCCTTTTTCTCTAGTGCCCCTCATTATCTGTTGATAAATGACAGCAGCATATCTGAGTTAAGTTTTCTAGTGTGAACCTATTAAGGCATTCTTCACAGAATCCTGACTCTTGAGCAAGGACTCACCCCAAACTTAACTTCCACAGATACGAATTTGTAGCTATTTTAGCAGTAGCTGTCATGTCTTCCACATGATTCATTTCCTGTTTGATGCCTTCATTTGCTAAATAACCTGACGGTAGGCAGGCTTCTATACAAGTAATGCTAGAACTCTTCCAATGTCAGGGTTTGTTACAGCTGGAATCTGGGGACTTTGCTATGTTTGCTATGTCTTTGATGAACTGAAATAAGAAGATGGTTCTGTTTGCAGAAATTTAAATAGTTTCAGGCCATTTCAAAATAAGCCAGGCTTGACAACAGTGTAGTTGACCATGACCGTCTAAGTGTGTAAAATGTGCATGCACTTCTAAGCTCAGCCACATGGGAATGAAGATGCCCTAGACAAGAGTGTTTGCCAGCCACAGTAGGCAGGCCTACTAGATCATCTCTGGTGAGCTATTTCTATTGACAAGATCTTCTCTCAAATATATTTAAATGTTTTATCATTCTGCCTACTGAACTTGAGATCTTTTATCATGAAATCTGTAAAAGGCAGGTAATTCCATAGCATGTATTTAATGATAGCCAACCTTTCATTTCCATAATTTTAGAAAAATGAAACCTCCTTATGAGACCAATCACTCTCCAGCTATAGAAGCACTTCTCGCAAACTCAGCTACATACTTAAACCATCCCCTTCAGGGTAACCCTCAAGTAGTTACGGGGTGATGTCTTCCTAAAGCGGCACTGGTTCTGTGACCATCTGTTCCCATACCAGGAGCTGACACAAGACTGGAGCCCATGTAGATGACAGAAGTTCTTTGGAATTTCACACTACCTTCTTGAAGAAGCAGGTCTGAACTGCCCCGTCCTACCTAGTCACCAAGGCTGAGAAATTAGGCCAGGGACTGTCTGGGTTCACCTTGATATCTCCCTTGCTGCTAATGTCCTGGCCTGCCCCAATCCTGTGCTGAATCATTATTTACTGAAAATACTAACACGCTCCCTTTTGGCATATTTATAATACCCCCAAAAAATCTGATAATATTAAGAGGTAGCACCTGTTGAATGGCTGGAGGATGTGTCGGCATTGTCTAACCTTGCCATTGGCATGAGATGCTGAGTTATTGCTCCCATTTTTCTAGGCCTCCATCCGGGAAATAGAAAAAGCAGCTTTTTGATCAGCCTTGAGACTCTGCCTGACCTTCCTTCAGTCAGTCCTGAAGCTTCCTATAAAAGCTTTTAAAAGAATTTTTAAAATAATAATAATAACTAAGGGCAAAAATCAGTGTTTGTGTTCAGCAGCTGCTGCTTTCCAGTTCTGAAACACTCGAAGCAAACACATGTCTGCTTTCTCTCACAGTTTTTCGCAAGAAGCCTTGCTGATAGTAGCTGTCTAGGAAGACCACACCATATGAGGCTTTCCTCTCGGGATATCAAGGCAGGAGATGAGCTGTTGTCAGAGTAAAACTTCAAGAGAGGAGAATAGACCCAATTCATTTGGAACAGCTAATTAGAAAACAGTCATTTCTGTGGCTGTGTGTCATTGTCTACCTCACTACCTTTTACACCCACTGTCTAAGATTGAAATCACAAATTATTCATACATCATATGGCTAAAATTAGAAAGCTTCAAATAATAGTTGCCAGTACAGGTGAGCTCTGAAATGTCACAGTGAATGCAGGTGAACGTGTGGGGGCTACTCTGGGAAGGGGGTTGACAAACGAAGGGCTGAGGGGCAAAGGGAAGACTGTGTCACTGCCACTGCTCAGGTAAGCTCAAGGGAACATCTAATCCCTCTGCAGAGACTGCCCATGTGTGTGTCCACATGTGTTAGACAATTTATTTTTATGGCAGTGCTTAGATATATTCACTTCAAAAGTTGCTCCCAAATTTGTAGTTTAGTTTCAAACATTTTGAAACATCTCTTTTTGAATAAGAACAAGAATAAAATACATTATTTACAGAGTACAAAAGTGATTTGTTTTCTCCATTTAGCAAGCACTTTTTTTATCACATTTACTCCCTGTGGTAGGAGGATGCTAACCGTCTCAAACTTATTACTGGAAGTATGAACGTATTGCAGTTAGTCGCATTTTAGTTTTTCCAATACTTTCTGAATGGAGCAGGTATGTAGAGAGTCATTAAACAATGGAGTGATTCTTCTGATGTTTACATAAAGGCTGGTTTCCAGTTCCTTGTCTCCTCTATCTTGCCTCACTAAATAGTCTGAGTGCAACCCATCCTGAAATGTAACTCTATTGAATTTGGTTCTGTACACTGAACTGACCTTAGAGATCATTTTCTTGCATTACTGTGGTATTTTTGTGTGTATCATGGCAATGTTTGTTCTCAGAGGATTTTGTCTGTTGTTTTTTTATTTCATAGAGGTGCTGTCCAGCAGAAACTGTTAAACAGTCGGTTTCAGTTTTTCTCTTGAGTCTTTAAGCTCAACACATTGCTGGTGTCTTCTTCCTTGGTAATTGCAGTATGGGGTCTACAGATTTTCATTTGTCCTCTGAAACAAACTATCAAAGACATCCATGTCATGGTCTAAAATAAAGCTTTCAGCCTTTTTTTTTTTTTCTTGGTAATTTCCTCCTCTATCTGAATCACCACTACTTGAGACCATTGATTCCTTTTAAGTGACACCCTTTGCTAATTATGGCCAACACAACCTGGGTTGATGGGGGGTCGGAGAACATAAGAGATCGTCAACCGTGCTTGTCCTAGATCAGTATTCTTCTTGAAGAATTGCTTTTCCTTCATGTTATTTTCTCTTTGAGTAAGAGTATATGACAGAAATGAAAATACAAGCTTATTCTTTGCATTTAAGAAACATGGAAAATATTTTTTAATCCTACTAAAGCACAAATTTGCTCTCATTGAACCATTTGCTTTTTCATCAAAAAGGTAATGTTTATGTGTTCTCATAATGGAGAGAAAAGCACAGAAATCAAACCATGATAATTTAATCTCTGACCAGATAAATGCACAATAAATGTCTTCCCTTCTTTTTCTTGTATAGAAAATTATGTAGCAGATTGAGCCTGTGTCTTTTTACAAGGTCTAGTATCTACAGAATGAGCCTAAGTTCTCAAGAGAAGTAGATACTGTCATTGCTCAGGCCCAAATGGGCCAAATCGCAGTATTATTCACAGAATGCTGTTAATATTTATGTTGAATATGAAAGAAAATAATTATCCAACAATGCTAAATACTGGACCAAAAAACTCTAGTATCTGATATTAATGCCTGATTGTCTTTGTATAAGCCCAAAGATTGTGGTTTTTCAGTACTTTCTTTTTCAAGTCAGCAGTATGCTTCCTAATTTAAAATAGTACTAGCAGTTTTCTTACCTCAGAAATGTATTTGCTTTCAGTTAGAAGTCACTCCCATTTTTCTTTGAACCTGAGATAGAAAGGGTAAATGTATTCTGATCTATGAACTCACCAGAAAATATGGTATTGTGTTTGTCATTTTTCATTATGCTTTCTTATGCCCAGCAGACACATTCAGTAAATTTGAGGCTTACTGCAGACTTGGAATTATGCTTTGTTGCAAGTTAAACTAATTGAGTTGAATATTTTTATGTGCTTTTGTTCCACTCCACATAGAAATTATAGATTATTCATCTCAAATGAATTTTAAATTATTTAAACTTTGCACTGTGAGTGTACTACCCTCTGAGACCATTTTTAAAAAACAAACAGATCTTTTCCTGCTAGACATTACAAGTTTAATTTCTTTTGCACACAAATATCATTTATCTTGTATTTTTCTGAGAAAAACGTATGCTTATTTTGTTTATTGTACTTTCATAGATTTTCAAATTATTTCTACTTTTCTTTAAACAAGCATATTTGGAAACTGTGATAGCGTAAGATGAAATACCTTGTGCCTTTTAGCTCTTGACAGATGAACACTATCTCACCCTGTAGTTTAAAATGCCTACATGTAATTTTCTTGATGTGAATCATAACATATATCCCAGACAAATATGTGCTTTTCCCCCAAACATTCTGAAATTTCATATACCTCTCTCCTTATTTTACTGAACAGCAATCTGCAACTAATTTTTCTCAACAAAATTGAATCTGTGACTGCTTAATATTCCTACCAGTTTGAAAACTGTGGTTTGTATTGGCGTCAGAGCGGTAATTTATGTGTATTGGGATAACAAGAATGCAAGCCAGAAAAGATCAACATAAAATGAAATGCAAAAGAGCTGTTTTTCCTCCACAGCATCTCCAAGCAAAGCTGATGGAGACTGCTAAGCGTGTGCCCTGACTGCATTCCTTGTTTCTTCCAGGTAAAGTGTGACCAGTACTGGCCGAGCAGGGGCACAGAAACCCACGGCCTGGTCCAGGTGACACTGCTGGATACCGTCGAGCTGGCCACATACTGTGTTCGAACATTTGCACTTTACAAGGTTTGTGCTTTGTCTTTCTGCCTTCTCTTTGACTGAAAGAAAACTTCTTTCGAGAAATCAAATCTCTCCAGCCTTTTCTTAAATCTTGATCCCACTGGCAACAGTGAAGAGTAAAATAATTCTTCCATTATCACCCAACAATTCCTCTCCCAGTTTGGCAATTTATCAGTAAATATGAAACTTGTGCTCTAAACAGAAGTTGCAGCAAATGAAAAATAGATGAAAAAACACTAGTTCTTTTTTTTTAAGAAAACAAACAGGAGTGTTCCTGATGGTTAGCCCTAAACAATAGATTGCTTCTCACCGAAGAACTTTATCTTCCTGCAACTAGTTGTCATTTACAGACAGCTTGGAGTTTAGATCTACGAATCATGCATCTCCTGAGGATATGGGCGTGGGATTTAGTTAGCAAATCTTAGTGGTGTGACTTGCATTACCACTGAAGTAGGGAGAGCAGCCTTCAGCCTGTGTTCCTGTGTCACAGAATGGTTCCAGTGAGAAGAGAGAAGTGAGACAGTTCCAGTTCACCGCCTGGCCTGATCACGGTGTTCCCGAGCACCCCACGCCTTTTCTGGCTTTCTTACGGAGAGTCAAAACCTGTAACCCTCCAGACGCAGGTCCGATGGTTGTGCACTGCAGGTAAGGCCCACTGAAGCATCTCTGCTCCCTGGAGTCAGAAGGCTTTGCTCATGCGGTGCTCTCATTGCAATTTGTTCCTACTCTAGGAATGGACTCTGTAGCAACAGGGAGGATTTGATACAGGTGTCCGTCTCCCTGGAGACAACAGTGATCCATTGCGATGTTCTTTATGGGGTGAAAAGAAATGTATAAATTCAATATTGTGTTTATTCATGGCCATAAATATATGTCTAAAAAGAATAACATACTGTATTGATCTTGTAATTAGGGTCAAGTTTTACTTCCTGTGTTGAACATTCTTGGATACATTGAGATGAAGTGATTAACTACAGAGTTTCAGAGTGAAGATCTTATTGCCTAAAGACAAATGCCTTTTATATATTATTAACATCAATTCACATATAACCAGTAGGCTAAGTAGATCTTTTAAATTTAGTTAATAAAATGTGTAAAAAGAGCTATAACTTGGGAGAAGCTATATACTCAAAAATAATGATCCTGTGTTTCTGTTTAAATGCATAATTTATATTTTTACTTAATTTTAACATCCTCTACATTACCACTCATCCACTCTACAGTGCCCACACAATTTTAATATTAGCTGATTTCTTGCAGTTGCCTGAGTTCTTCTCAAGCAGCACTACTAACATGCAAGATATCCAGTTAGATTCTGTATTTATTACTAAAGTATACCTGATGTAATTTCATTGAATGTATACCTGATGTAATTAAGATATGAAAAAATAGGGCTTTTGAAATAGATTAGTGACAGGCCTTGTTTCCAAGAAATATGGGGACAATGGGGCAGTCAAAATAAAAGCAGCAGAACTCACCAGGCAATTCATGCTAAAATGATAACTAATAAACAACAGCCTGGCAAAATACAGTATCCATATTCCAAGAAGTGTTTTTTTCCAAGTAAAAAACTCTTAAGATTGTTATATTTATATAGAGTAGTTTACAGATTCTAAAACATTTCCCACATGATTTACTTTGTTTGATCATAAAAAATGTGTCCTATATGCTTGGCTGGGGAAATGTGAGAAGGTACAGGGTTTGACCCAGTATTAGTAGTCAAGAGGAAGAAGGTGACGTAATGATGGCTTGTCCTCTAGTTCTTGCCTACCGAGGCCTCAATAGGTGATTTTCAAGAATGGCCCCTCATTGTCATGGTTACGTAACACTAAAAATTGCCTTTATCAATTGGAGTTAATGTTACTGCCTTTTGAAAGCAGGTTTCTGATTCTACAGCCCGCCAGTCCTGGACCAGGCACTAGTTTGGCCAGTTTGTGCTCTGTCATATAAATAGTTTTGCTGTCTTCAAAGAAACAGTGTGCCTGGTTATGTGGTACAGGCGCTTGGCACGGGCTAAACTGGTTTAGAAAGAATATACATGCAACATGCGAACTGTTTTCAGGTAAGGTTCAGCCAAAAGTGGACAAAAAGGAAACTTGGATTCAGGGCAAACGTTCTCATATACTTAATTGCAAAACTAAGGTACATATGTACTCATTAATTATATGTACAGTAATAGAAACAAAAATTAGGGAAACTTAATTTGGAAGTTCTCGCCAAAAAGAGCATTATGATGTTTGTATTGCATTGTGAAATATGGCATATTCCCTCTCTGAAAATATGCTTTCATTGAAGTATAGGCGTCAGAAAACTAAGATAAACTGATAATCTTAAAATGAAATTTGTTTCTGTTGCTCATGAGCAAGACATGTGCTTTACTCTAGGTATTTTGAGAGATCCAGAAAGAGTTGCAAGCAAATATAAATGAGATAAAAGATGCCATTAATGTCTTATTTTGAGAAGGTGCATGACACACACATACACAGGCACACGTGTGCGCGCGTGCGCACACACACACACACACACACACACACACACCTGTTATTTTAAGTCACCTGGAATCACCTTTGAGAGATTCAGACTGCTCAGGAGAAATGAGGAAATAAAGATAAATGTGCAGAGCTAATAGCTGCTGACATTGGAAAGTGCGGTGCCAGAGGCTGTGCAGAGGCAGTGTATGGAAACAAACGACGTAAGAGAGGGTATGCTGATAGAAGAACTTTGGTACCAATTTCAAAACAATAAGGGAAAAATGCACCATAAACTGAGCTCCGTGGAACGGTCTCTGCTTACTCACAGCTGATTTCATGGGTGTGATAAGAAGTGCTGTCCTCTCAGGAAAGGACACGTCAAGATAATTAACACCCAAATGATCATGAGTCCTGCGTGGGATATAAATGTGTTAAAACTTGAAAAAGCAAATTTTTTCTGATAGCAGCAGATAAAAGTCATGCTACATAGCAGTTGCTCATGTTGTGTTGTAGAAATACTAATTTAGAAACCATTCTTAAGTCATAAGAAACTATGCTAAAACTCCAAATAGCCAACTCACCGAGGAATATCAACCACAATTACCATGATCATGTTGCAAATAATCATACGCTGACATATATAAACTGTAGTTCATGTTTTTGTTTCTCTGCTGATGAACTCAGATATTTTTCTTGTAGATTAAAGAGGCAGTGACAAATTCGACAGTAAGTACAAGGGTTCTGCCAAGCAGGTCCAGTGAAAATGGAGGAGGACTTAAAAGAAGTCTGGTAGGAACCAGAGGGAGTTGAGAGAGTAGGACCAAGAAAGAAAAGTTCATCTTTCTCCAATAGTTCCGTCTAGTAATAAGTATACAACGATTAAAAGGTGCATTAAATAAATAAAAATCTTAAAATCAATGGTAAGAATTGTGGGAATGGCCTACTGTAACAAACACAGAGAAAACGTGGGAAGGTCAAGAGGGAAATGATCTCTACTGTTTGCAATAAAGAGAATGTTGCATCCAGAAGGTGATGAAGGAATGGTAAGCTCTAGCTCTCTACTGATTCACAGCGTGTACAGTCTCAACACAGGGCATGTCCCAGAGAGAAACACTGAGGCTGCCTGAGGAAACACTGCCACGCTCGCGTCCTGGCTCTGTGCCTTTGGGGACACGATTTGATCTCTGTTACCCCCCACCCCATGTCACTCATAAAATCAGGTAGCACTATTCGCAGCAGTTACATCTTTGTGAGGACCAAATGGAAAGATATGAAATGATGTGCAAAAAGAAAAACTAGTGGGAAATTATTAGCGTTGCATTGTTGAGTCAGTTTGAAGAGCCATAGAATATATAAAACTCTAACTGGAACATACAGTGTCACCTATATGTCCTGAATTATCCATAATATTAACCAGATGTTTATAAATATCAGAACAGTTTATTGAGCAGGTTTTTATAAGTTTTTCTATTTTCCATCATAGTAATTCTATAAGGTTTTGGTCACAGCAGAAGTCATTTTAATGCTGTGTATTAAAGAAAGATCTCCATAACAATATACGTTTTTATATTATATAAAATGATTAAACCCCTTTAAATGATGCAGCTAACTACTCAGGAACCTTAATGCTGGGTTCTCTTTGCCTCATTAAGTCTGAACTTAATGTTGCACTCACGGCCCTGCATACTTTACCGTTCACTCTTTGGGCCGCTTATGCTAGCTCTGTATTCTAGTTACTGCACCCTTTCTCACTGGAGCTCAGCAAACTTCAGTGCAGGATTGCAGTTGCTCCCCTCCGCTACCTGATGCAGTGTAATTGTTTCATAATCCATCTGAAATGTTACTTCCTATGTAGATTGCACAGGTTGCAAACTGGCATCTCATGATTGTATTGATGTACATGGTAATTTTTAAAGCTACGAGCATGAACTCATTTAAGCAGGAGTGCGCTTTCCAACATATTCATTTCCCCTGTTGTTCTGCCCACATCTCAGTTCTTCCACTTGTGGGATTACTTCCTACTGGAGATATTTGATTTGTAAACTTGGAGAAGAAGTCTATGCTTATTCCCAGTTCCTCTTCCCACAGGAAGAACTAGACACTGTTCTCTGAACTTTCCTCAAGTAGGTTCACACTGAACACATTTAACTGTACAAGCACAGGTTCGTGTATGCCTTCAGACCAGAGGGCATGGGTTATTTTGTGCCGCGTTCTTGTGTTCCATAATTAATTGTTCGCATTACTTGAGTTTTATGTTGTATATAAATAATTTTTATTAATATGAACAAGAGAGTTTCAATAGGCTGGATTGTGTTTTTTAACATAAAAGACTATATGTTTATCTCTGTATGTTGGAATATCTCTTTATGAATGCTTCATTACTTTAAATTGCCTTTACCTTATGCCTATTTACCAGTTATTAGTTTCTTCCAGTCTGGTTTGAGTGCTCTTTGCCACATCCTGTCAATTCCACGATGAAGTGATAGGCATGTCTCCTTGCTCCTTAGCCATAATAATAGTTAAAGGTAGTTGAGCATTTATTCAACATCAGATAATTTTTTTTGTCAACTGAAAAGGCTTTATATGTGAGAGTGCTGTACATGTAATATTGCTGTTACTTCCCAATCGTCTTTGTAAAAATTAGAGTCCAGCACAGGTCGGTTTTCTTGCCTGAGCTCATGCCACCAGAAATAGTATTCTGTGCCCTCCATAGACCAAGCAAATTCTCCAGTACTTTGGCCATGTTGTGGTTCCCACCTTCCCCAAATGCCGTCCAATTGGGCATCATTGCACTGTCCATTCGTCCTTGATGCTGTACTAAGAATGAACCCCTCCTTCCTGTCCGACTCCACATCATGTACCCTACTGTAGCCTTCCCGTCATTCTTTCTGTATCAAAGGCAGCTCAACACCTTAAACAATTTAACATAAATAATCAAAATAGCTAGGAGTTACTGAGCAGTTACTTTTTCACAAGAATTACTGAGCACTGGAGTTATAATCAATCCATAAAATACTTTACTTGCAAAGGGCATCAGGCCCAAGGAGAACATGGGTGATTTGCTCAAAGGTAACTTGTAAGTTTCAGCCTCATTGCAAAGGCAGTGGGTAACCTCATCTCCTTTCCATCCACTCCACTCTGCTCAGTGCAGAGACATACTGGTTCCTTACACTC